TTCTGCAGAGAGATCCACTGTTAGTCCCTTTGTAGGTAACGTGACCTTTCTCTCTGGCTACCCTTAACATTTTTTCTTTCGTTTCAATCTTGGAGAATCTGACAATTATGTGCCTTGGGGTTACTCTTCTCGAAGAGTATCTTAGTGGTGTTCTCTGTATTTCCTGAATGTGAATGTTGGCCTGGCTTGCTCGTTGGGGAAGTTCTCCTGGATAATATGCTGAAGTGTGTTTTCCAGCTTGGTTCCATTCTCCCTGTCACTTTCAGGTACACCAATCAATTGTAGGTTTAATCTTTTCACACAGTCCCATATTTCTTGCAGGCTTTGTTTGTTCCACTGTCATTCTTTTTTCTGTTATCTTGTCTTCATGTATTCTTTCAATAAGTTGATCTTCAATCTCTGATCATCTTTCTTCTGCTTGATCAATTTGGCTATTGATACTTGTGTATGCTTCACGAAGTTCTCATGCTGTGTTTTTCAACTCCATCAGGTCATTTATTTTCTTCTCTAAACTGGTTATTCCAGTTAGCAGCTTCTGTAACATTTCATTAAGGTTCCTAGCTTCCTTGCATTGGGTTAGAACATGCTCCTTTAGCTCAGAGGAGTTTCTCATTACCCACCTTCTGAAGCCTACTTCTGTCAGTTCGTCAAACTCATTCTCCATCCAGTTTTGTGCCCTTGCTGGGAGAGGAGTTGCAATCATTTGGAGGAGACGAGGCATTCTGGTCTTTGGAATTTTCAGCATTTTTGTGCTGGTTTTTCCTTGTTTTCTTGAATTTATCTGTCTTTGATCTTTGAGGCTGATGACCTTCGGATGGGCTTTTGGGGAGGGAAGGTCCTTTTAGTTGATCTTGATGTTACTGCTTTCTGTTTGTTAGTTTTTCTTCTAACAGTCAGGCTCCTCTGCTGCAGGTCTGCTGCAGTTTGTTGGAGGTCCACTCCAGACCTTTTTTGCCTGGGTATCACCAGCGGAGGCTACAGAACAGCAAAGATAGCTGCCTGCTCCTTCCTCTGGAGGCTTCGTTCCAGAGGGGCACTGACCTGATATCAGCCAGAGCTCTCCTGTATGAGGTGTCTCCCAGTGAGGAGGCGTGAGGGTCAGGGACCCACTTGAGGAGGCAGTCTGTCCCTTAGCAGTGCTCGAGTACCGTGCTGGGAAATCTGCTGCTCTCTTCAGAGCCAGCAGGCAGGAACCTTTAAGTCCACTGAAGTTGCGCCCACAGCTGCCCCTTCCTCCGGGTGCTCTCTCTGTCCTGGGGAGATGGGAGTTTTACCTATAAGCTCCTGACTGGGGCTGCTGCCTTTCTTTCGGAGATGCCCCCCCCAGTGAGGAGGAATCTAGAGAGGCAGTCTGGCCACAGCCGCTTTGCCGTGTGCTGTGGTGAGTTCCGCCCAGTCCGAACTCCCTAGCCTCCTTAGCACTGTCAGGGAAAAACTGCCTACTCAAGCCTCAGTAATGGCGGATGCCCCTCCCGCTACCAAGCTCTAGTGGCCCAGGTCAACTTCAGACTGCTGTGCTGGTAGTGAGAATTTCAAGCCAGTGGTTCTTAGCTTGCTGGGGTCCATGGGAGTGGGACCTGCTGAGCAAGACCACTTGGCTCCCTGGCTTCAGCCCTCTTTTCAGGAGATTGAACAGTTCTGTCTTGCTGGGGCTCCAGGCACCACTGGGGTACCAAAAAAAAAAAAAAAAACTCCTGCAGCTAGCTCAGTGTCTTTCCTAAACAGCCACCCAGTT